GTTTGTTTTAGCGCGATTGTTGAAAATAAGTGAATCGTAAAGGTGTATTCGGAAAGAATAAACCAGTTTTATTAAGTAAGGACTTGTGTCGCTAAAGTTTCGTTGGAACGAAGTTACGGAAAGTTAATTAACAAACGGAGACGTAACAATATATATTATTCATACCTTCGGTGTATAGGGCGCAAGCAAATTTTGACATCAAATTTTGGGGTAAAAAAGTGCGTCTTATATACCGAAAAATACGGTAATTTCAAATTAAAGTGTAAAATAGGCATAAAAGTGATATTTGTGAGCTCAGTAAAAAGAGAGGCGCAAATTTTTCTATGTAAATAAATGTTTGTTGGGTAGGACAATTTGTGATATAAAGCTTCGTTACGCGAAAAAGTTCAGTGAAGTGTGTTTATAAATTTCACATTTTGCAAGATATATAATCATTCTCTGTTACACAAAATTATTTTAACACGTCAACAAATAACAATGTTCTGTTTTAAAAGAATGTTGCAGTTGTTTTTCATTAGGCTTAATGGCACGTTAGGATACACGATTCCTTCTCTCAAGAATACCTTTCAAACTTTAAGTTTATAAAGGGTTTTATTGTTTTATTGCTGGTTAGCTTGATAAAGTGTATTGAGCCTCATCGATGGTTTGAAATAATACTTCTTTTTTAAACTTTGGATCTCTGTTCACATTCAAATAGTTTTGTTGTATAACTCATAATTTGGAAAGTGACTATTTCATCTAATAACGCCCCCCAGTGGCACAGCGGTGTGTCTGCGGACTCACAACGCTAGAATCCGGGTTTTGATACCTGTGGTGGGCAGAGCACAGATAGCCCATTGTGTAGCTTTGTGCTTAAATTCAAACAAACAATCATCTAGTAACAAAGAAAAACATGCTGCTATATGTTGCGAATTTGTTAAGCAGATAAATAATTTGACTCACCTAAAAGAGATAAAACTACTGTGTATGTGTGTTTATTTGATAGGAGCTATTTATTTGACTCACTTATCAATGACTGAAAATGTTGTGCTATGTGTTTGCTAAGCAGATAACGAGTTATTTGACTCGCCTAATAAAAAACATTGTTCTTTGACTTTTTTGGGTAGGTAACTGGTTATATGACTCGTCTAATAAGACATACAAATGTTGTATTGTTTTGTTGGATAGGTAGCTACCTATTTGACCCCCCCTAGCAACAGACAAAACAAATTATTATATTGTAAATTTCCTGAAAGGATAAGAAAATTTCTTGACTCAAGGAACAAGATATAAACCATTGTTGTGCCATGAGTTTGCTGATTATACAAGTAGCTATTTGACTAATCCAACAAAAACAATTGTTGTTGTTTGTATTAAATACAAAGGACTATCTGTACTCTGCCCATCGCGGGTATAGAAACCCGGTTTCTAGCGGTATAAGTCCGCAGACATACCGCTGTGTCACTGGGGAGGCAACAAAACAAATGAAACACATTACTGTGCAGCGAATCTGTTGGAAGAACACAGAACTATCTTGCTCTTTAACACTTAATGCAGCATATTGTTGTGTTGTTTCTGGAACAAATAAGAATCTATTTAACCCAGCTAACAACAGATGTAGTGTATAGCTTTCTAAATATTTAACTATTTTACCACCCCACAGTATATATATATATATTATATTTTTGTTATGTAAGCTATTTAAGTATGTAACTGTTTAACCATCTCATGATATAGATAGCTCATTGTTGTGCTTTTCGTCGAGTACTTAAATTGCTATATGAAACCTCCTGAAAATGATGAAAAATGTTATGCTCTGAGTTGAGTGAATACCTATACAACTTAACAAAAAAAATAATAAAAAATAGGTGAAACGTGTGTTTCTGGAGTAAATAAGTAGATATGTTGGTTCCCTAAACAATATATAAAACACGTGTTGTTTCTTGAATACGTGTAAACTATTTGATTCATCTAGCAACATGTACAATATATCTACGTTGTATAAGTCCATATCGCCACGCCCGGTCATGCTTTATGTGAGGATCATGTTGTATCGACAATACCCCTGCAGCTTAGTTTCCATTCTAAAAGGCGCCATCATAAGCCTAAAATCTATCTTATTTACAAGTACGACAGTTTTCCAGTGCCCGTTTCAAAAGTCCAATCGCACAGAAATGACTTGACCGGTATGTTTTCAAGTGGAATAGCACAAATATCCGTTTTATTCTCCAGTTGCTTCGGTTCAACTGATATATCGTAGAAACAACTTGTTTACACGTGACTTATATTGCTTTTTCAGACGCAGATCCTTCTGTTTTATGTTGGGTACTATTACCCGGGGCACGTAGGCGGCTTTTGCTACTAACCTTTGTGTTTGTAGTTTCCCACTTGTTACAACACGCCGAAATTTGTTTACCACGGCTGGGGTAAAACTCGTTGCAGATGTCTTCCTGGATGATCCTGATGCCACAGTATGATTCACATTCATTTTTCCTTTTTTCCAATGCACTTAACTACAAAGGATATCACCTCCTTGAAAATTCTAAATCCACGATTTGAACACACGTTCATGAACGTAGGTGTTACATACCCTTCCCAAAAGCGACCAATTTTCGGTGGTATCACACAACCTACCAAATGTCAATCAATAGTAAAGTGTAGTTCTGATACATTCCGTTCCACTGACACTTTATATCGGCTGTGGTGGTTAGCTGACTTGCTGATTTGTATATTCAACATCGTTTTAACGTAACATATTCAAGCCTCTGTATATTGTTGACTTGTAAGTTTGTTCAACAAAGACGTAAGTTCTTCAGTCACCAAACAATGTGTTATACATTTGCTGAGTAAATAATTGTTCGAGTGTCTCACTGAACAATAGATAGGAAATGCTGTTGAGTTGTAGGTTGTCTTATCACACACACACATATATAGCTAGCGACCTTATCTTAGCAATATCTGTAACTTTTTTCTTAATAAGATTGGTATCATCCCATAGCTTGCTGTTATACTTTATGCTGAGGTTTGTCAACTATAAGTGCCATCAAGTCTGCTGGTAAATGTGATGAACAGCGAGAGCACGATATTATTACTTAAAAAAGCAATTAATATATATAACGTTTTACTGTTTATATTTCTGACTGTTGTTATTGCTATCGCTGTTTCACCCAGTTTCAGCTGACGATGATTATAACTATCCAATCGAAACATCGCTCGTGCATTTCCATCGTATCTAATAAAAACACTCACGACTGTAATTAGAAACCATGTTTGGACAGCTTTCGATTACATGGCTCAAAGTTCAAACTTAGGGCTAAATAACACAATTCCAATGTGGCAGTTGAAAGTACAAAGATGAAGTTAAAACTACTATCAGCATTAGAATTTTTGAATTAAGCGCGTACACAAACAAAATTACCTTCACTAAATGAAATAAACAATACTAAATTGGTTTAATAACAACAAAAAAATAATAGCAGTAACATTACTTAAATGCCTGGATTAATATGCATAAGTTAAAATGAGGATGTGACAAGAAGTATAGAATTTGGACGATTGTCTCACTTATGTTATAAGCATGCGCATTACTGCGAAAGGATTTTTCACATTAAAGATCCTGGCCAGGTGGTTACGGCACTCGACTCGCAATCTGAGGGTCGCGGGTTCGAATCCCTGTCACACCAAACATGCTCGCCCTTTTAGCCGTAAGGGCGTTATAATGTGACGGTCAATCCCACTATTCGTTGGAAAAAGAGTAGCCCAAGAGATGGCGGTG